TCATGCTTTATGTTGCTAAAACATATTCAAATTTTAAATTTATACTCATCAGCAACGTACAATATGTTGCTAAATTTTAAATTGAATATTTTTCCCTCCACTGCATAATTATTAAAATTAATATATATTAATTAATTTTTAATCTTAAATTTTTTTGTAATTTATCATTAAAAAAAATAAATAAATAAAAACAGAGAAAGGGACAAAAAAGATAAGGGGGATTTTGTTTGGATTTGGGGAGATGAAATAAGATCCAGATATTTTTGGTTTGGGGGATATGCTAATGGGTTGTTTTCTATCCTTGTCCATTCCCATTCCCCTTTTTATTTAATCTGTATTGGTAGATATTTTTGCAAAATTTTGTGTTTGTGATTACTTAATCTTTTAGGCTCTTTCTCCATAATAGGTTACTCAACAGTGAATTGCTGTCCTCTCACCTCAGGAAGGTAAAGGGTGTGATAAATGGCAGCAGCTGCGTCAATCTTTACATCTTCAGCACAATTCTTGTCGAGCACGAGGCCGGTGGCTGCTAAAGCTACAGTCTCAATCTCAAACACTCTTGGTGAGTCAGTCTCTTTAGGCTTTTTCTAAATATCTTTTCTTGTTAATGTTTCTTTAATTGCAAGGTTGGATTTTGGCAATTTATGCCTCTATCAATCTGTACTCAGAATTTTGGAGAATACTCAGAATTGGGTCTGTGAGACAGACTGATTTTGAAACGATTTCTTAGTTGAGATACAATTGGGAATCTTGTCAAATTTGGTTGTTTGCTTTAAGCTTCTTTGGTCGGAATTGTGTGCAAGTTTAGATTGCCATTAGGGTAGGTAATTGTTCCTTTCTCATCATAGTTGCTATAGATGATGTGCCGCTTGCCAAACTCAAGATCATGGATAGATGGACCATGTGAAATGATCAATCTAAGACAGAAGCATGGACCATTTCTCTGTCGGCGGTTTGAATTCAGAACCACAACTGATAGAGATGATTTTTTTGCATATTTAAAAATGGATGCTTTTGCCTTGAATTAAACAGTTAACTCAAGTCCATGTGCGTGGTGTGTTTTTTGTGTTTAGTGGCCATTTCTACTTTTCAAGAACTTGTCACGTTGTCATAAAAGAAAATGGAATTGGTCACAATCACATACAACCATCATAATTCAGTTTTTAAAAACTTAAAATTTTAAATGTGAAACATGTGTTTCACTATGCAGCTAGTAGTTTCACTGGTGCTTCAGTGCCAAGGAATTTCCCAAAGAAGAAAAGAGTAGTGAAGGAAACTGGGAAAGTGCGTGCTGCAGCCTCTGTTTCAACAAGTCCCATGGAAGAAACCAAAGAGTATGAATTTCAACTTCATTCTAATTCATAAGCGCATCTACTTGACCATGAGAAGGACATAAGTTTCTCAAAATCCATTCTATAATAATTGGCTAATTGTAAAGTAAAACAAAACTTTCTTATTCATCCAAAAAGAATAATTGAAATCTCCTTCATTGCAGGTATACTCTCCCTTCTTGGGCTATGTTTGAATTGGGGAGGTGTCCTGTATATTGGAAAACCATGAATGGCCTTCCTCCTACTGCCGTGAGTGTAGCTTTACTGCTTATATATGTTTATTTAATATTTATGTTTTGTTTGTGAAAGGAAGAGCAGGGTGATCGTTACTCTCTTTCTAACAAGCATGCTTATTTGACAGGGAGAGAAGTTAAAGCTTTTCTACAATCCGGATGCAACCAGCCTTGTTCCAAATAAAGAATTTGGGATTGCTTTTAATGGTAATTTCTGATATAGCCATTTCCCCACATAGGTTTGATATGGAAATCAACTAATGTTAATTTGAGGGCTCAAAAGTAAAATCATTACAACATGAACATGTGATTTGGGTTGCATTAGAATCTGGGTTGTGTTATATCCCAAGATTGTTGAATAAAATTGTGCACATACTGGAAGAAATTTAGATTAGTTTCTTTTCATTTTGTTCTACAAACATACCATTTAGACAAGGGCATATGGCTATTTGTTTGTGTTATAGGAGTGTGCCATAATTATATTCATTGAAAAGTTTCAACTCCTATTCACTCTTTTACAAGGAAACAGATATTACTCCCTACCCAATACCAAAAAGGAATCTAACATATAAATATTCTACCCATCAAACTGAAAAGATAGATTCATGCCTAAAGCCTTGCTGAAATTCTATTCCATTGCAGGTGGCTTCAATCAACCAATTATGTGTGGTGGTGAACCAAGGGTAATGCTGAAGAAGAGTCGAGGAAAAGCTGATCCCCCAATATACACCATCCAAATATGTATTCCTAAGCATGGTTGGTAGCATTTCACAAATTCAATTTGATTTCTTGAATAGCTCAATTCTCTCTTGTTGGCTAAAATCTCTTTCATCCTTTTGCAGCTCTGAACTTGATCTTCTCGTTCACAAATGGGGCCGAGTGGGATGGTCCTTACAGATTGCAGTTTCAAGTTCCAAAGGCCTGGAGGAACAGACCAATTGAATTCTTCAATGAGGTAATTAGGATTGGCATTTTCTTTAAAATTGTGGAAAGCCATAAATAGTTTGGAACTAGAATAAAACTTTGAAAGCCAAGGATTTGGACAAATTCTTTGTTTCTCCATGATGGAGAAATGAAAAAAAGAAGGAAAATTAACAGCATCTTCACGGGACAATTGAGGGATTCATTTATGCATTTTGACATTGTTTAGAAAAGAGGAAAACTTACTGCTAGATCTTACCATATTGCAGACATTTATAGTAGTTAAGTGAAGTGGATGTCATAACCTGGTATCTTCTGAATCTAATAAATTTATTCATCTGGTAGGGTCTGGCAGAAGAATTGAGCAGAGAAGGTGCCTGTGAAAGAGCAATCTTTCCAGAAACAAACATTATTGTTGATAGGTGTACTATGATCGGTAACTTGTCAATTGAAGGAGTAAGTAAACTCGTCTCATCTTGCTTTATTTTACCAGCCATTTTACTTGACTTCATTGTCTTACTTTGTGTGCCTAAATTTGTAGCACTGAACCTTGCTATGGACCTTCCTAGTTCCTAATGAAACCTTCTTGCAGGGCGATCGCTGCGATCTCAATCTTGTTCCAGGATGCATGGATCCTAACTCATACTTGTATAACCCACTTGCCAACGTAGATGACGGCACATGTCCAATGGATATAGAAGCTGAGAATTAGTGTCTCTCACTCTGTACCCTCTAAACACCTGTATACATTCATACCATGCGTAGTGTGTAGAACATTTATACAACAGAGTCCTTACCCTTACCATTATAGAATGTCTGCAGAACTGCCCTTTGATGTTGTGAGGACTCGGCCCTGCCTGTAAATTTTCCAGAAAGTAAAATTCAATATTTGTCTTATTTGTTAATATCCCTTTCTTCACTTCATTATCGCATTAGCAACTTGCTCATTCCGGTTGTGAATGTGAAAGCTGTCGCATGATTTTTTTACCCTTTTCATATTGATGTAAACTTTGTGGAACTAAAAAGGTGGGCATGCGAGGGCCAAGGCACCACTTGAATATTTGACAAAGTTGGAGTTGTCACAAATTGAATGAGAACGTGGTTATGAATTATGAATGGTCTGGTCAAAGAAGTGGTGCTAGTATTTACGTGCTTTATAAAAGTACTCAAGGAATTCAGGGTACAGAAAATAAGAATAAAAAGACATTAACAATGAACAAACATTTTGAATAAAATATGGAATGAACAATTCTATGAAGTAGACGTTAATTGGCTTTAAAGTTCCTCAACTGAATTCATGATATCTGAAGAAAATACAAATGAGAAATATTATATGCGCAAGATGAAAATATTGGGGCAACTTTATACTAAACATGGATCAATTTTTACACCAGAACACACACCCTATAATCTATATCCTTTTTTTTTTTTTTTATGTGAGGGTGGCAATGGGAAAGGGGAACAAGAACATGGATAATTGTTGGTTCAATTGGCAATGGCAATGGGACGGCCTTAAAAATTTCAGGGGTTAGAAAGGTAACCAATGAGAGTTGGTTCATCTGGTAATATTCAATCTTTTTAACTATTTAATTTTAAATTTGAGTCTCGTTATTAGTATTCCTTGCGGATAGAAAATAGTAATTATAACCTAGTCCTCTTCAGTCTAACGAGCTGGTTCAATTAGTAAGTTTAATCTTTCTAATTATTATATTAGCGTTTTGCTATTAGTAATCCACTGTGGATAGATAATTTGTAAATACTAATATGTGCTAGTCATGGAAAAGGTAAAACGTCTCATCACGTTAAATTTAGCCCACCC